GCAGTACTGTGCAGGTGGTGTACCTAAATTCATTTTGTGCTCTAATCTTCTCAGAAGGAAGATTCTGTAGTTACCATCTTGATTTATCAAATTCTTCAGACTGCTCTATTACATGTGTTATAAATGATCAATCGAAAGCCAAATTACCAAAAATGCTAAAAGATTTATTTTTTTTTTTCTGCAACCAAAATACAGTCCTCAAAACCACCACAGCCAAAGAGACAGCATCAAGCCCAGGAGCAGCACTGGGTGAACCTGGATCCGACCTCTATCGCAATAGGACCCCTGCCTCGTTCACAAGAGTCGCTTCTAGCAGGGATGTTTTATACAGTTTATTATGCCCGAGGCGACGGAGTCCAAGTTTCTTTTGTAACTCTGCATATTCATAGTTGGTTCTTTCAGACCTTGGACAATTGCCGTTTCCTGGTTGATAGCCAGCGTTGATTGTATCCCGGGAAGTCAAGTATTCACATGTATCTTTCTGGCGACTTCGACTTCGGCTATCACGATCAATGTTACCAACAGGGCGATGATCACTCTTAGGCGTCTTCCGATGACTCAGGATAACAGTGATCATTGCACTGGGTGCGTCTAATTATAAGCTAAATGCCGATCATTATCTGGCCGCCTTCAGGAATTTCAGAGTTTGAATAGACATCCGCCTCTCGGGCTGCTTGTGGCCAGAGACACATTTGGATTTCACAATCTTTATAAAATACATTCTTTTATAGCATGAATTATTTCTAACATACATTGCACATGAAAACCATGTATTAAGACAAGTCTTTCAAACCATTGCATTGGTAATCCCTGGGCTCTGTAGATTCTATAAATCTTTGAGTCTTTTGAGGTGTATAACCTTTAATAGTTTATTATTGCTTCTGTCAGGATGGTGGTGTTCCCTTTGCAAAATATGTAAGCTAGGGTCCACAAAAACCATTTGTAGTCAGGGAAAGTAGCTTTGGGATAAATTTCTAAGAATGATTAGGCAAATCTGGCCTAAATTTAGCATAGCTAAATCAAGTTCACAAAATACCTTTACAACAGAAGATAACACAGGAGGAAACCTCTGTCAGGTCCACTAGAACTGTTACTGAATTACATGTAACATGTTCAGATGCTCCTCTTAATGCATGTCACCATGAAATCATAAATTATTCAAGGAGTGATTTTTCCAGTACACAGCAAATACCACCAATGACTGGTGGTCTTAGGAATGTGATCCCTGTAGTACAGAAAGGATGTTATTGTAGTGATATAACTGCTTCGTGTGACCTGTTATATTCGCCCAATTATCCCATCAAAAAAAAACCCCAAACAATATTTAAGGTAGCAACAATTTTAATTGAATAGTTTAGAAAATATATAAATAAGGGATAATTTGGTTCAAATAATAGCGCATAAGCAAAAACAAC